CCTCCTGCAGTACTTCCTCTATGAAACCGTCGCTGCCGCCAGTCACCCACAGCGTGATGTCATCCGCGTAGATGCTATGCTGCGGTCCGGCTATCTTTTCAAGTTTCGCGGGCAGGCAGATCATCGCCACGTTGAAGAGGTACGGGGACAGCCCCGATCCCTGTGGCGTTCCTTTTCCCCCAAGGCAGATGTCTTCGGACTCGACCCCGCCGACCGCCAATCTCGCCTTCCTCCCGCTCAGGAAGTTCTGGATGTATTCATATGTTCGCTTGCCCACGGCCAAAGCCCTGAGGTTGTCGAGGACTGCATCGTGTATAATGTTATCGAAAGCCTTCGTCAAGTCCAGGCCCAGGATCGCTTTGGTGTCGAGGGGGGAGCTCCCCGTTTCATGCACTATCTGATGCTTAAGGCGGAGCATCACGTCCTGAGTGGACAGATGCGGCCTGAAGCCTACCATGGTGTGCGGAAAGAGCTCTCTCTCCTCCATGTATCTGTTCAGCCTCCCGAGGACGACGTGCTCCATGAGCTTGCCCGCGCAGGAAGTCAACGAAATGGGTCTAAGGGAGTCCAGCTGCGGCCTCTTGCCCGGCTTGGGGATCATTACCACCTTGGCGGTCTTCCACTGCTGGGGGATAAAGCCCCGCTCCCAGCACGCGTTCATGTATCGCGTTATGCGGGTAACGGCTGCGTCCCCCAGATTGCATGCCATCTTGTTCGTCACTCCGTCGGGACCCGGGGCAGACTTGGTCTTGAGTCTGAGCAGGATCTCCCTCACTTCCGCTTCGGTGATGGGCACGTCCAACGCCTCGTTCCTCTCGCCGTCGTACTCAGTAGGATCTCGGGGTGGGCTGTCCCCTAGGTACCTCTTGCGGATCTCCTTCATGAGGTCGTTCTCGCTCCCCTCATGGCGACGCAGGATCTCGCTCATCTTGTTCTTCTGGGCCGTCTTGGTGCCGTCTGGATCGAGCAGGTGCCGAAGGATGTTCCAGGTCTTCGGAGCGCCAAGCTGGTGGTCGAAGCCGTCGCAGGAATCTTGCCACTGCTGTCGCGTGATCTTGCTGGCATGTGATTCAATCTCCTTACTTAACTTGGCGATCTTACGCCGAAGGTTGCGGTTATGTCTCTGGATCCTCAACCTCCTCTGCATGCTGGACTTGGCCTCCCACATGTGCAGGAGCTTACTGTCTGCAGTCAGCATGTTCGCCTCCTCTGGCACGGTCTTGGTCGCGTGCTCGGCGCAGGCCCTCAGTTTTTCCGTCCACTCCTCGATGTTCTCAATGTCATCTTCCTCACACTCCTCTAAAAACCCTCTGAAGGCGTCCCACTCTGTAATCCTAATCCTTCTGCCCTTCAGTTTCCCCGGACCGGCTGTGACCGTCGCCGCCACCACGAAATGGTCGCTGCCCAGATCTTCCCAGGTGTTGATCCACTCCGCTCCTTTCACGTTCCGGACGAATGCTAGGTCCGGCGTGGTGTCCCTGTGTCTTGCATCTCCCCTCCTAGTGGGTTGATCCGGGTTAGTAATCAGAGTCAGTCCTCCGTCATGGGCGACATGCCAGAGGTTCCTGCCTTTCACGGTCTCCGTCAGGTACCCCAGTCCGGGTGCGGCGCGTTGAAGTCGCCGACCACCACGAGGGCCTGTTGCTTTGCGATCTCCAGGGTCGCCCGGAAAAGTGCGGCGAACCTGTGACGCTTGGCGGGGCTGCTGTAGACGTTAAGCACAAAGACGCTGCGCCCGTCCCTCTTCGTGTTGGATATGATCTTGATCAACACGTGTTCCACCGTCGAGATCCCGGTGTCGTGCTCGATGACGGGTAGGTCCCTTCTGACTAACGACGTGACCCGCGTTTTCTCCTTGGCATCCTTACCGTATGCCCTGTAGCCGGAGACCTTGGGCATGCCCCATGTCTCCTGCACGGCGACAACGTCGGGTGTGCTCTCTTCTTCTTTGGTCCTAACGTACTGCTGCAGATTCCCCCACTTCCTACGGAAACCGCGGCAGTTCCACTGCCAGATGACGTACTTCCTACGGCTCCGATCCATCTTCGCTGATCATAGTCTCAGTATCTGGTCGTGTGATGTTCCCCGTGACTCTGGTGTAGTGCGGCCAGGTGTCGAACGGGTTCGACGTGCCTTGTGCCAGTCTCGAGCAGCGGCTCTGCAACATGGTCAGCATCCTCTCCATGCATCCCGTGATCGCGCTCTCCAACATTCTTTTCGTCACGAAGCTCTCTTCGTCCCCGTTAACAATGAATGATAATAGCCAACAACAGCTACTAAAAGCCAGTCCGGTTAGTAAGCACTAAAATTGCTCATAACTATCGAGAGTAGCCACTAATAGTTATTTGTAGCTATTTCAAGCCAATTTAATAAAGAATAAATGCTTAAAGTCAATAATAACCACTTCAAGCCAGTTTCGCCCATAAACAGTGAAATACCACATAATTGTTAATTATGCTCACTAATAGTCATTGCAAGCCATTTCAGGCGAATCTGGTTAGAAATAGAATCTAGTAGCCAACAATAGCCACGAAAAACCATTCCAGTTAGTAAACATAAAACCTGCTTATATATATCTACACTAGTCACTACTAGCCAGTTGTAGCAATTTTAAGCCAAGCTAAATGCTTATAGCCAGTAATATCCACTTGTAGCCAATTTCATCCAAAAACACTGAAATAGCACATAATTGTCAATTATACTCACTGATAGCCACTAAAAGCCATTTGAGGCGAATCTAGCCAGAAATAGATGCTAATAGCCAACAATAGCCACTAAAAGCCATTCCGGTGAGTAAACATAAAGCCTGCTCATAAATAAATATCAACACTAGTCACTACTATCCATTTCCAGCAATCTTAAGCCAATCTAAATGCTTATAGCCAGTAATAGCCACTTGTAGCCAGTTTCATCTAAAAACACTGAAATAGCACATAATTGTCAATTATACTCACTAATAGCCATTCCTAGCCATTTCAAGCCAATCTGGTCAGAAATATATGCTAATAGTCAACAATAGCCACTTAAAGCCATTCCAGTTGGTAAACACAATAATCGCTCATAACTATCAACACTAGCCACTAATAGCCATTTGTAGCCAAAGCTTGCCATTGTAATAAAAATGAATGATTATAGCCAGTTACAGCCACTTGTGGCCATTTTCATCCATAAACACTGAAACAGTACATAATTTTCCATTATACTCGCTAATAGCCATTGCTAGCCATTTGATGCCAATCTGGTCAGAAATAGACGCTAATAGCCAACAATAGCCACTTAAAGTCATTCCAGTTAGTAAACACTAAAACGCCCATAAATATCAACATTAGTCACTAATAGCCCTTTGTAGCCCATTTCAATCGAATTTTTCTAAAATTTGATGCATAAGCCAATAATTGCCGCTTGAAGCCATACTCATTTTTAAGCACTGAAATAGCACATAATTGTTTAATGATCTCATCAATATCCATCAGCAGCCATTTCAATTCAATCTGGTGAAAAATAAATACAAATAGCCAACATTATCCACTTGAAGCCTTTTCATTTCTTAAATATAAGAATAGCTCAAGCAATAGTTATCTACGAATAGCGGCTTGTAGCTATTTGCAGCCAATCTACTCGAAAATAGGTGCTTATAGCAAATAATAGCTACTTGAAGCTATTCTCATTAATAAACACTCAGAGAGCAGATAATTGCTATTATACTGACTAACAGCCATTAGTAGCCATTGAGCCAATCTGGTCAGAAATATCTTCTAATAGCCAACAATAGCCACCTGAGTCCTGAAGTCATTCTAGTTTATAAACAAAAATAGCTCAGTTTTCATTATTCATTATTAATATTTGCATCCATATCTATCAAATATATGTAAAAGTGGAGGCTGATAGCCAATAATAGCCAGTTGAAACCACATGCATTCACCAACGCCGAAATAGATAACTGTCAGTTGTCTCACCAATAGCCATTGTCAGCCATTTAAGGTCAATCTGGTCAAAGATGCTAATAGCCAACAAAAGCTACTTGAAGCCGTTTATAAGAGTAAGCAAACAAAATAATCACAATTATCAACAATAATAATTACTTCTTGTAACTCGAAGTCGTTTCAAGTCGGTCTCATAAAAAATTGATGCCTATTGCCAATTATGGTCACTTGGAGCCAAGGGCATCTAAAAAGACATTTTTCGGAAGGCAATAAACAAATAAATCAACAAGCTCAGAGAAGGTTAATAATTATTTAGATTGTACAAAATCGCTATACAAATCCTAACTGGTCTATACAACACACTGCATTTTGACATCAAAATACCAAAAGGTCCAATATCACGAGTTTATGCTCCCTATGCTCCATCAAAAAATGGGAGTATTTCACAGGCTATCAATTTCTCTAGTGAGTCAGACCCATTTGATTCATTTCCGGGGAGAGTGGCGAGTTGTCCACTCCATACCGCCAGGATCGCTTTCCACTCCCGTCTCCCATTTTACCCCGGAGTTTCCGGTATTATTTTCAACGGTATTTGAGCTCACTATCCCTCCTTTAGTTCACGGCCACTCAAGCAACCAAGCACGTCATGAGGAAGGTTATTTTTTTACTTGTTTTTGTAATTTTACTTTGCCTATAACTTTTAAAATAAAGCGAATTTTGAGCAAAGAAGTTTCACTAAGTTACTACGTTCAGTACGCTCAGGTTGGGTGCAAATTAAAAACCAGTAAAAAATACTTGCAGAGCCCATTTAGTTGCTGTCGTTAGAAAATGTTGCATTCGGAGTTTTCCCAGTAGTAATATTACCGGGACAACCTGCACTCCTTGGGCTGCCAGATGTTTTTTAGGGCCGTTCAGTGCATGCGAACACTTAAGTAATATATTGAGATTGCCTGCAGAGACTTTTGAATCGGAATGTTTTTAAATGCGTCCGGAAAGAAGATCGTTTTTTTTTATTTTTCATACTTCCCTTATTGTAACTTACGTGTGCATATGTTACTAAAAAATGTTTGTCCTCACCATGCATGTAGATCCAAAGTCGTGCATAGCGCAAAGGATGTTTGAATGAAGTGACGACTCGTTATACATCCCTTCGCATTTGTCATTTGGGATTAACTGAACTCGGGCTTGTTGGAGCATATCAGGAATTATATTTTTGGCCAGGGACCCTGGTGTCGCTTCAGGGTCATAGTAGTGTTCGTAATAATCGGTTGTGTCTGAAATATAAAATCAGATGGAGGCCGAATGATTAAGCTGACCATAATACATTCTTTGTAATTCGAACTGAATTTGGAAACCGTGAAAAAATGTCTAAATAAGCTCAATCTTGCTAGATTGATCTTTGTGATTTGAGTAGAATTTCAGTAAAAAATTAAAATGTGCAAGGACGTTTTTAATGCGAAATTGAGCTCAGTATAGCAGTATTTTCTCTCCAGCTAAAATAGTTTAACATTTATGGTATGAGAGAATTTTAGCGATAATAAGTCCCTGGAGAAGAAAGCAAGTAGGACAAAGGGCATACATAACTCTCCAAACACAGCTAAGGGACAAATCCGCGACTAAAAAATTCACCTTGTCATGGTTGGTAGAGCGCTGCACTGGAAATGGAGACGTGCCTGGTTCGATACAAGGACAAAGGGAATGTTTGCAGTCGTGTACCAGTAGCTGTGTTTGGAGAATCAGAGAAGGTATTATTATCGTTATTCTTGTCCAGCTCGCTTGCACCTTTACATTAATTACATTATCATCAAAAAAATTTTTTTTTTGGTTTGTTCAAGAACATACTTCTTGGACGTCGCTGAAAATAGGGTTCCCCGATTTAAACCCCTGGATATTAAATGATGAGATTATGAGAGTTCCAATGCTGGAACACTATTCGCAACGTGTTGAAGGCGAGTTTAACCATTCTAGCCGTGCTTTTGAGTTTTCAAATTAAAGTTGTACTAGTGAGCTATATTGTTAGCATTATACTGCTTCAGGCAGTGTATCCCTATATCTACAGTTATTTGTTAGCACCAAGGGTATCGCGGAATCAGACTCGTATTGATACCAAAAATGCCAGTATTGAAAGAGAGGAAGAGCTAGACAAGATAAAATTATAATTGTATAAGATATTTGAAGTGTTTATGTCCCAGAAGCATTGATCCAAATGGATACGGGAACCTAAGCTGTAAGGCGCTTTTATAGCAAGCTAATACCGCAGCAACATTCTTAAAAAGACCTGACACCCAAAATGTCTTATTTTTTTGTTGTTGTTTGAAACTATAAAAGTTGTAGTGATAGACAAAAAAAAATACCACAACGCAAAAAAAAAAACATCTTCCCACAAGCGCGCTTTTTTTTTTTTTTGGCGCCTCTCTCTTTCTTTTTTCAGCTCCTCTTAGCTTCTTGTTTGTTATGCCAAAAATTATGACATTTAGAAGCTTTGTAACGACATTTTTATAATATTTAATAACGACATCCGTAAAACATGTTTTCTAAAGCAATTGCGAACGTAATACGGCCCTTGTTTTGCAATACCGAAAATTGGAGCCCGGAGTGACGCCGACTCCTGGCTTTTTATCCTCCCTCGGAAAACATGGCGGCGCTGGCGGCGCACGGCACATATAGCACTGAGGATGATCGGTGAGAGGCGAATCGGACGAAGTTCTCATTTTTAGGTGCCCGATGACCTTTTAGACTTTGAAAAGGCAATCGCCAAGCGGTAAGAAAAAAAACAAAAACAAACTGGGTTTGTTATGTTTTTACCGTAGTTTCTGTTCTGACTCCGCCGGGGCAGCCTTTCAAGCAGAAACGGCGCGACGTGGCCCCTCAGGTCGCTGACAAAAGTCCACGGCGCGTTCTCTTCAGCCTCGCACTGTTTCTAAAAATTCGAGATCGCTGAAGAGCCCTGGAATAACTTCAAAGTGAAGCGTCGTCTGCTCACAGCATCAGGCGGCGGGCAGGGAGAAGAGCGTTTGATCGCATGACACGGGTGAACACGACACTTCGGGTCGGGATGGTTCGCAGGCGTGACAGAAACTCGAGTTGTAGGACGAGTCAATATTTGACGTCAATGCACTAGCGCGGATCGCGTGGGAACTTCAAATTCGGCTCTGGAAAATTGTATTTTTACTTCAGAAATACTGGGGAGTTCCTAAGTTTCGAAGTTTGAAGATAATATCCAGCCATCGTTTTCAATCGTTTCGGACTAAAATCTTATTTTTACTTGTTAGTGCCCCCCTTTAAACACATCTCAGCGCAAAGGTATACCCCACCTTCAGATTCTTCTTGTGATTTTATTTCGGAGCTGGAGTTTACTGCGATCGAATCTTCTTCAACATCAAACCAGTCTCCATCTTCAGACAAAGACAGGTTATTCCACATGACCGCTGCAAAAAGGAGTGGAAAGCAAAAAAAAAAGAGAGATTGATTAAGGTAGCTGTATTCTGTAGGTGCTAACGTTTTGGAGTGCATGAACATCGTCAAGTGATAACAGCAAATTGTTGTGAGTGTAGCCCCAGGTAATATATATGCATAATTATTAACTATAATGTTATAGAATTCATCAAGGCACTGGCAAAACAGTGTGCCGTGGACGTATACGGAGAGAAGACGATTTTATTTCAGTTTGGCACCATACATCACAATTCCTATCTTGAGGTATGATACTCACGGTGAGGACTTTAGAGTACACATTATAACGACAATGTATTTATGCGTTTTTTGAACCAATGCAGAAGTTTTTAGAGCGCAGCTCTTAGGGGCCCGTTTCCGACTTGAGCGGCGTCGCCGTCGCCGTCGCCGTCGGCGTAACCGCGCGGTGTATTATGGGAAATGTCCCATAATGCACCGCGAGCCCCCCGGGGGTCACGTGACCTTTGGGGGGTCACGTGACCTAGGGAGGTCACGTGACCCCCAAAGTCACATGACTCCCCTGAGGTCACGTGACCCCCTCTCGAGGTCACGTGACCCAAACCCTCGATGACGTCATAGTCACTGATGACGTCACCGAAATCCGCATCGTCGTCATCACTGATGACGTCATCAGTGACGTCACTGATGACGTCACCGGCATCCCCATTGTCATCGCCATCATCACTGATGACGCCACCGGTATCCGCATCGTCATCGTCACTGATGACGTCATCATCGTCGTCACGTGACCCCCCGACGTCACGCGACACCCCAAGGTCACGTGACCCCCCGGGGTCACGTGACTCCCCCCCCCCCCCCCCCCCCGAGGTCACCTGACCCACCCCCAGTACCCTTCCCTCCTCCTCCTCAAGAGCTGCGCTCTAATTCGGCGTTACAGGGAGCTGTAAACGGCTTTAATTTCTTTAGAACAGTTTTGCAAATTTGGTTCTTGCATCGAGACGTTGCCCAGTATGGAGTGACACGAATAAATTTTAATGAGAGCAGCAAGCGAGAGTTCACTTGTTTTTAACTTAATGCCTTCCCATCACAACTGCGCTTCATAATGTCATACCAATTTTACCAGTGAGCAAGAAAAACTTAAGATTAAGTGTCGTTTGCTTTGTATATATTTGACAAAATGGGATAACTTCTACGCTTTCACGCGCATGCCGAAATCATTCTCCCAAAATAACTGCCTTGCGCTTTCTGATAAAATACAGTGTTTTTATTTATCTGCTTATATGAATAATAAAACCATAAATTACTTTGACAGGAATTCAGCTGCCTCAACTTTGATTTTGTGTGAAAGTGTGAAAGCTGCCGTAGTGTGAAAAAACAAAATCTTTGATTTTGTTTTTTCACACTACGGCAGCTGACGCGAACAGGTCATATTTACTAAATCTATTGTCTGGTATCATTCCCAAGAAGTTATTTTATAATGTAGTTTCCTACGAACTTTGCGAACGACGAAAACGACCTTCTTTCGTCCGCCATTTTGCCTGACCAAGGCGCCCCCTATAGTTCTCTGGAATCGCGAATACTGCAGCGCCGCAAGGCATCATCGCAAAAGTCGTTAAAATATATTAGAATTTGCAAAAAATGCCTTCGGCACAAACACACGAACACATAAGCATGAATAAACTCGAGTATTAGGGAAAGGCAAACCGTATGTTATATTGCAGCACATAGGAAAGCAACTAGTATTTGCGTTTGTTTAACAGGTAAAGCAAACACATTATTACAAATTATTGACGCTATGCTACTGTGCATCTCATTTCATTCTTGAATTATTGGTGGAATGAAGGATTATTTGAATCACTGATCATGTACAACGTTCACATTTTTAACTTTGCAATCTTGATCGGACATTTGCGAAATAATGTATGACTAAACTCCGTCTCATCTTACGATGGACTAAAGCCCAGTACTACATGCCGCCGGGTCTAACGTCGAGCTTGTTAAAAGCCACGTAATATATTTCCGAAGTCGACCCATCAGAGCGCCAAGGCGCCTAAAGCGGAGGCGAGTTTATCGTCTAATTATCGAGCCCTGGCGGCGGCTCCGTCTGCTTACTACTACTGAAGACTACTGGTGGGACTAAAGACCATGCTGGGTGCGATGTGGTGAAGAAAAGACGGGATCAGAACCAGTGGCCATTAAGAAATGGAGATGAGTCGGAACGAGTCTTCGACACGGGAGCGTATGTACGACAACGTGCGGAAGCGAGATACGGTTCCGTGTACGAACAGGAAGATTGGATTGGCTAATCGACTTTATATCAGTGTCGCCTGCGCACCCTCGAACTTGCCCAAACAGTTCACATGTTTACGAAATATGGCATGAATGTTTATAAGACTGAATACCGTGTACCTTTACTTCACCAATATAAAATTCCGCCCTGTCAAAGCAGAGAACCATTTGCGTAAAATTAGTGCTCTTTGTACTCTGCGCATCGGAATTTCTATCGCGCACACTTTTGCAATGCGGATGCGCGATTTTCTGAGGTAGTGCTTCGCCCGACGGCCTTCGGGCCCTAGTTCACTGCAGGGTGAGGCGGAGTATAGTACCAAATTTACACTGATCAATTTTTGTTTTGTTTGAGTGTATGTTGTACAAGAGTATTAACCAAAGGCAGTTTTGACAAAAATAGCCTGACTTAAGTAAAAGGTGCTGATGCTCTCGTAGTAGCCGTATATTAAAAAAAAAAATCGTGGAGCTTTTCTGAGCACTGTGTCACTCCTAGGTACGTTCCTTAAGAAGGAGTTTCAGTGTAATATACGCCAAAGGACTACACTTGGTCACCTAGTGCGACAAGTTCGATATTTTTAGTTTAAAGGCAAAGAGGTGGAAAGTTCTATCTCCTAAACCGCACATGGTGGCATTTTCAAAGGTCCACCGCTATTTTACAGTTTATACGCCATCTGAAAATGCAATTAGGGTTATCTTGTATAATAATGTATTCTGAATGAGCGTCAACATTTTAGTAAGCCACACAGTCATTACTATATAGCCGGAAGTAGGAAAATACATAATTTAGGGGTTCATTAATAAGGATTAAAAACAACAAAAGTCCCAAAAATAAAGGTTTATGTTTTTTTCAAGAGTAAAATGGCAACCCCAGTACAATTACCTAGGGTGGCATCAACTGTTTGCAATTTTTCTTGCGTTAATTATAAATACACGCAAGCAGCTTGATTCGATGTTGACAGACAGAACAGTTTAAAATATACTTCTGTTTTTTATAATATTAGCCCTGGGTGTTTTTAATGACAACTTTATTAGTTGCTCTTACGTTCAGTGAATCCCCATCCAGCAACATACGTGGGAACGTCAGAATCTGGATTGTCATTGATGTCGGGCAGACAAACAGATGTAATGGTTTTTAAACATTTCACTGGCTTTTCCAGTGTTATGATGGCAATGTCATACTAAAAAAAAAAACAGAAAAAAGGTAAGGTAGAGCGGTTTGATATAATTCTAAATTGAGTGAAAACAATATTATGCTCTTTCAGATTAGTATCGTACGATACTTAAAAAAAAGTAAAATTAAATTGCTAACCCTGTGCATGAACTGATCTGTGATGTTCAAATTATTAGTAGCGTTAATTGGTGTATACTGGAAGACGATAAAACATAAATATCGTGAATGTATAAATGGAATAATATGCAGACGTTTTCCGAAATTCATATATAGCCCTAAAGATAAAAGAACCGCATGCGATTTATGAAACAAACCTAATCTTATTTATTATTTGGTACCTCTTTATTCAAATCCCTTGGGATGATGGCGGAAGTAGAGGATAAAAAAAAATTCGTACTACTTAGTTTCGTCTAGTTGACGGCTAGCAAACAGTATTTGAGTAATTGAGAAGTGTGAAGTACGAAATAAAGTTTCACAGAAAATATTAAAACGGTCATAACACATTGTAGTTTGCAGGTTTTTATCATGAAGGCAATACATTTTAGTACATACACTCATAATATTAATTGTTAGATTGTCTCTTATTTCGCAAGCTGCGGAAACAAAATACATTATTTGCTTTCGGCAACAAGGAGTCGTGGTGCGTTGAACACCCTTTGTTCCGGAAGAAAAGAATTCTTGCCAGTAATGAATCTATTGATGTTGAGTTTGGCAAGCCTAGATAAGGTTTGCCAAACCCTTTACCAAACTTCGTTTGACAGAATAATTGTTTGTGCGCTTTTGTTGTTAAGTGCATGGATGGATTACTCGATAGGTTAGTCTAATAAGTTCTCAACTCACGTAATTAGGTAAGTCTCATGTGCATTTGGTCCAATATCATAATATTTTAGTCATTAAAACGTTTTTTACACTTTTTACACAACGAATTAGGTAGTAATATTAGCTTTTTATTAAACCGGAAGGCTGCTGGCTTTAATTGGAAGGGGCGATATCCTCAAAGTATAACGGGCCCAGTAACACTTTGGTGGTAAGTGCGATGGTCGGCGCCCTGACTGAAGTTTCGTTAGAAGCCTGGTTCACACCTTTGCGTTTTTCGCAACCAAGGGCGTTGTACAGACTTGGGCCCTCTTGTGACGAGATAACACTCTGCCTCGTACTCTGCGCCATCTATGAGGTAGCACAAAAACTGCATTGAACTAGTGTGAAGGTTCTGCAATATTTTCGATATCAATTGTTTCTTCTGTGTATCATTGACCAAACACCAGGGCGTATGTGGTGCCGACTTCCTAGGTCGTTAAATAAATACGTTTCAAAACTCACTTAACTTCTATATATCAGAAATGGTCGTTAATCACATTACTAAAGGTTTCTTAAGACCATGGTGGAAAAAATGCATAAGAAAAGGACATGTACGAACATTTTAAATGGTTCAGGGTTACGCGATTGCTGACATCAGCAGGCGCGCAGCCAGGAGGGTTTTTGCGGTGTCAGAACACCCCCCAAAACTTTATTTCCTGCTTCCAGCGCCACCTGGCTAATGCAGGTTGCTCATAGAACTGGCAACGTCGCCCGTTGCAGCACATATATGAAATGCTTCATTTTATAAGCAACCGAACTCGCTTATATAATACTCCTCCAAATGAGGCATTCAAATGTCCATACAGGTTTTAACTCTACTGTTCTACCCTTTGGGAGAATCTTTTAATTGTTAGAAAACCGGAATTTTTAGTCTTCCCTTTAGCTGTAACAGCTCAAAAGCATTTCATAATATTATATACTGTGAGCACATTGACCTTCCAGAAAGTGCACTATGTAGGCAGTGTTAACAAGGAAAAAATAAAACGAGATTGCGACAAATATATAGTAAATGCTGCAGGGGCAGATCATTTAGATATTTATTTTAAAGTTATTTTTTAGTTTTATAAAGAAATATTACCTGAGTAGTACAGTTAATTTAATCAAGCTTGATTAATACTAATTTTATTCACAACATCCTGGTAAGGTAACAATATTTCTTTTAGAGTTCATTCGGTTACTTACCTCATGTTTGCCGTCTATAAATTGAGAGTACATACAGATGGTTTCAATTTTTCGCTTCCTTTCTTCTTTCTCTGTTTCGTTCCTTGAATAGCTCCCGAGCAAAACTGTAAATGATTTCTTGGGTACGTGGCTGCAATTCGATTATACGTGGCATTACTATTTTTGTGCTTACTTTGCATTTTGAAGGAACGATTTATGAACACGACCTGAGACCTAGTGCGTCCTCCTGTTTGATGTTATTCGCTAAACGGAGATTCAGCCCAAAGGTTTGAACAATACTACAAAGTGCTCTGCCGAAGACTTACGCGTTGCATATAGTTATACTTGTTTCGTACCTGGGATGACGCCGAAAGTGCAGTCCTACTTTTAGACATTTGTCTGTCGGTGTGTGTAGCCACATTACTGTGTAATATATATATATAGTAAGAAAGTTAGGGCGCAAAAGTTAGGGCTCACCGAAGTCGGTTAAGAGATCTTCACCCTCCCTTCTTTTGTTTGAGTTAGAACAGTACCCATGTGCAATTGGTCTTTACCCTCCCTCTCTCGCGGGTTTGGGAAAAAGAAGTTCCTCCTCTCCCTTTTTCTTCCTTACGGTTTTTGGGGCACCTGTACCCTATAAAACCACGATACTCTGTCCAATAAATTTCAGCTGTGTTTGGGACTTTGCGTTGTGTTGTCCTTTTTTGCCCCCAGTCTGGGGTTTTTGTCTAAAATGATATACGGGGTGTTTATTTTAAGCTTTACAGATACGTTTAAAAAAAAATCCGTGAAAGGTAAACTTACGACGTTTGTGCAGGTGAGTTATACGGCCAGGAAACATAAAATAGGAGGATAATCCTAACGGTCAGTCATCTAATCATGTATAATTTAATAATGAGCCTTTTGATTAGTGACAATAGAGATATGTATATGTCACGATTCTTCGAGAACGTGAACGAGGACGATGTCTGATCGGGGCGGCGTGCGCTCCACGGTGTTTACTGGCGCGGCGACCTATGTTGCCCGCCGAACCTGGCGGCCACAGACGGGTGGACTGGAGGGGGCGCTACATACTTGTCACAGTCTCCAATTAGAAACTTGCTAAGCATCATCAAAACCCACTATATTAACTCTTGTTAGGACAATATAAGACAAGTGCGGCATTTTACGGCGTTCTGAAAAAACGCTCAATTCGGACGTGTTTCTAGGTTTCGCGTTCTTATTGGAACACATCTTGGCACCCGCGGTCATGGTCCCCGGTGGCCGCTGTATCGTGCCAACTCATGCTGCCCTGTCCTGTCATGCCGGCAGTGCCGCCCCCATGCCGTCAGCACCACCCCCTCTCTTATCTGTGTGTAAACGGCTATATAAGCAGTGACAATAAAATGACCAAAGGCTTTTTGATCATCGGAGCTGGCTGCGTCGGTCTGACTTGTGAACAGAGTGCGGAACGATACATGGTGTCAGCAGTGGCTCACGCAGCCACAATCTAGACAGGCGGCCATGGAACCGCTGAAACCGCCCGACCCTCTGCTCCTGTCTGGAAGCGCTACCAAAAACTGGACGCTCTTCAAGCAGAAGTTTGAATTGTATATTCAAGCCACGGCGCCAGAAAAAACAAGGACGGACGCTGCCAAGACCGCAACGCTGCTGCTCATCGATGGAGACGACGCCCTGGAAGTGTACAACAACTTCACGTTTGCCGAGGAAGAAGGCAAGACTAACTACGAGGCTGTGGTGAAGAAGTTCGAGGACTACTGTTCCGACCAGCAAAATGAGGTGTATGAAAGATACGTCTTCCGTAAAAGAATGCAGGGCGAAGCGGAGCCGGTGGAGCAGTTCATCCGTGACCTGAGAAAACAAGTAAGGTATTGCAACTTTAGTGAATTCTCAGATTCCATGATTCGTGACCAAGTGGTATTTGGCACCAGCAACAAGAAGCTGCGCGAGAAAATGCTGCGGAAGAGAGATTTGACGCTTCAAAAAGCAGAACAAATTTGCAAGGCCGCAGAAGTCGCCAACAAACAAAATGAAGCGTGGCACGCTCCCGAACAAACAGTGGACTCCACCACAAGAAGCTACCGGCGCCATGCGGAGGGTTTGAGAGCCACCAATCAGTGCCCCAAGTTCAACAGGAAACATGAACCGCGGAAATGTCCCGCGTTCGGAAAAATTTGCCGCGCCTGTCAAGGAAGGAACCACTTCGCAGCCTGTTGCAGGAAACGTGATGTCGGTGAGGTGCAGCATGATGACGAGGATTTCGACATCTTGGACGTGAGCGTTTGCGGCATCAAGAAAGAACGGGATTGGATTGTCAAGGCCCAAGTGTCCGAACAAGTTTCGCTGAAAGTAGACACGGGGTCACAAGCCAATCTACTCCCTCTCTCTGTGTATAACAGATTCCGGACAAAGCCCGTCGTAATGCCAAGCAACGCCGTTCTTTGTTCATACAGCGGAAATGTCATTAACCACATCGGTGTCGTAACGAAGGAGGTGATCATCAACAAGCGTCACTGCCAAATCGACTTCTTCGTCGTCAAACGAAGCCAGGCCATTCTTGGGCTGCAAGCGAGCGAGTGTCTGGGACTAGTATCGCGAGCGGTGGACGCTGTAACGGAAGAGAACGTTGCGCCCATTCTAGAGGAATTCCGCCAACTATTTCAAGGCACGGGGTGTGTGAAACGAGAGTACCGGATGGTGCTACGTGACGACGCGATCCCAGTGGTCCAGCCTGCTCGTCGGGTGCCCTTGACGCTACGGGAGCCTCTACGGAACGAACTACGGCGCATGGAGGCATCGGGCATCATCCGGAAAGTGGATGAGCCCACAGACTGGGTAAGCCCTCTTGTTCTGGTAAAGAAAAGTGACGGCAGCCTCAGGATATGCATGGACCCGAGAAATGTTAACGCATCCCTGAAGCGTGAACACTACCAAATGCCGCAACGCGAGGAGATCGAGGCCGAACTTTCTGGAGCTGTGTTCTTTAGTAGACTGGACGCCAACTCGGGATTTCACCAGATTCCGTTAGACGAAGCGACTTCAAAGATATGCACGTTTGGCACCCCGTTCGGTCGCTACCGTTTCCTTCGTCTTCCCTTTGGTATTTCCTCAGCATCGGAAGTCTTTCAGAAAACATTGAGCGAAATATTTGATACCTTGCCAGGTGTAAGGGTTTACGTAGACGATATTTTGGTATGGGGATTGTCTAAACGAGAACATGATGAGCGCCTTAAAGCCACGCTGTACGAAGCTCAACGTGCCGGCTTAACATTCAACTTGAAAAAGTGCAAGTTCGGTGTACAAGAGATAACTTTCTTGGGCGATGTCATTAGCGAAAATGGAATCCGTCCCATTCCCACATTAGTAACCTGTTTACGCGACATGCCAGTACCTGCCGATAAGCTCACGGTACAACGCGTGCTCGGTGTCGTGAACTATTTTGGGAAATATTTGCCCGCGTTGAGGGAGAGAACAAAGCTTCTTCGAGACCTCATTCGGAAAAACACTGTGTTCGAGTGGACGGAAAATCATGCGCAAGAATGGAACACAATCTGCGAAGCCCTCGGAAGCCAACCCTTACAGGCAATTTTCGACCCTGCCAAGGAAACAAAAATAACATCAGATGCCTCACGAGATGGTCTGGGATCCGCGCTGCTGCCGCGTCATGGCAGTGACTGGCGCCCGGTCGCATACGCTTCAAGGGTAATGACCGACGCAGAAAAGCGTTATTCACAGATTGAAAAAGAGGCCATGGGAATTACGTATGGCTGTGAAAAATTCCATCACTTTGTCTATGGACGGCAGGTTTTAATAGAAACTGATCACAAACCATTGATTGCCATTTCAACAAAGGACATCGGTTCAATGCCACCAAGACTACAGCGTTTTTTTCTTCGGCTTCTGACCTACGATTATGTACTACAGTTCATTCCAGGTAAAGACCTGGTTCTGGCTGACATGCTCTCAAGGGCGACATCTGCTGCGTCGGGGGACACGGCCGGTTTCACCGACGTGCAGGTCCATGCGGTCGGCATTCTGGCATCACTAGTGAGTGATTAAACAAAACTGCTTTTTGCGCGGGAAACAAACAACGACCCTGAGTTGCAAGCAGTTGTGGAAAACATATCTCTTAACAAAAACATCGAAGGGGAACTGAAACCGTTTACTTCTGAGCTTTCTGTTGTAGAAAGAATTTTGCTGAAAGGATGCAAAGTAGTTGTTCCGAAGAAACTACGTCCGGAAACACTGCGGCGTATTCACGAAGGGCATTTCGGTGTCAACAGATGCAAGGCTAGGGCAAGGCGTTTGGTTTTCTGGCCGGGTTTAAATGCGGACATTGAAGCTATCGTAAGCAAATGCGGAATTTGCAAAAAGTATGCATACAGGCAGCCGAGTGAACCTCTTCTGATGCTAAAAACCCCAGATCAACCTTGGTACAGGGTAGGAATGGATCTCTTTCAATATGCGGAAGTACTTATCTCGCCGTATTTGACTCGCACTCAAATTTCCCAGAGGTGGAAAAGCTGACCGATACGTCTGCAAGAAACGTAATCGACAAACTGGGGGCCATTTTCGCAAGATATGGGATACCAGTAGAAGTCTGCTCCGACAACGGGCCGCAATTCTCGTCCCGTGACTTCGCGGCATTCGCCAAACAGTACGAGTTTAAGCACATCACTTCTAGCCCGGAGTTTCCGCGTTCTAATGGCCTCGTAGAAAAGGGCGTGCAAATCATTAAGAGGCTCTTAAAAAAATGAAAGCCGTTTACAAATCCCTGTAACGCCGAATTGGAGCGCAGCTCTTGAGGAGGAGGAGTGAAGGGTACTGAGGGGAGGGTAGACCCCTCCTCCTCCCCTCATTCTTTAATATGCTCCGGGGGGGCGGTCACGTGACCTCGGGGGGGGGGGGGGGGGGTGTCACGTGACTTTGGGGAGGGGGGTCACGTGACCTCGGGGGGTCACGTGACCCCCTCCCCAAACCCCGAGGTCACGTGACTCCTCTGAGGTCACGTGACCTCGGGGGGTCACGTGACCTCAGAGGGGTCACGTGACCTCAGAGGGGTCACGTGACCTGGGGGTCACGTGGGGGTCACCTTGGGGTCACGTGACCTTGAGATGACCTTGGGAGGGGTCACGTGACCTTGGGGGTCAC